AGGCGTGGTGGGCTGGTAGAGGAGTCTGGCAATCTCCTTGGCGCCGTCCTTCGAACGGCAGGCCAGCAGCCTCGAGTATCCGGAGGGGCGGTCCGTGATCGTCAGGAGCATGTCCTTGTCGTTCAACTGTGGGAGCGGACCGCCGAAATTGAGGGCGACGTCGGAGAAGGGGCGCGGAGGAACAGGCAGGGGATGCAACTTGCCTGCTCGACGAGTTGTGCGCGACTTGTTCCGCTGCCACTCCTTGCACGAGACGACGTACTCACCGACCTGCTTCGCCATGCCAGGCTAGTAGAACGACTGGTAGAGCGCTGCAAGCGTCTTCTTCAGTCCGAAGTGGCCAAGCGCGTCGTGCGCGTCGTGCAAGAGCGCCTCGCGAACCTCCACGCCTTGCGGGACGACGAGGCGGGTCTCCTCGAAGTAGAGGAGGTCGTCGCAAAGCGAGAAATCTGGCGACAAGTCGATGTTGCCAAGCAGCTGGCCGCAGAAAGTGTTGTCCTGGTATCCGTCAACGACGCGCTGGATGAAGTCTGCGTGCAAGGCAACGGTTGAGATGCCGCACACTGCCACAACCGGCTCCTCACCGAAAGAGTAACGGCTCAAGGCGTCGGCCTCCGAGTTCTGCTCGCCCGGGATGTACAACAAATCGTAATCGTTGTCGGCGAGAGCCTCCATCCACCGAGATTGTCGCTTGGAGAGCGTGAGCTGTGTCCGGAAGTGCTTGAGCGTGTTGTGGTCGGTGAAGACGCGAAAGGGAACGCCGAGAAGCTCAAGTTGCCACGCCTTCATCGCCGCGACAACAGCGAGGAGCTCCTGCTCATGCGTTGGGTAGTGCGCTCAGCCGGGATGTACTGGCACGAGTAGAACCCGCACGGATGAACCGTCTTCCAGTCCTTGCCCTGCAACAGCACCGCGCCGATCCCGACCTTCGAGGCGTCCGTCATGAGCCAGATGGGCTCGTCCGAGTCCTGGTCAACAGGGCGAAGGACGGGGAGAGACGTGACGATCCACTTAATTGCCTCGAAGGCCTTCTCCTCCCGTTCGCCCCAAAGGCATTCGATGTCTGCGACACCCTTCTTTGTCAACGGCGTGAACACCTCGGTGTGCTCCGCAGGCGACGGAATGAACTTCCTCAAGTACTGGACGAGGCCGCAAATTTGGGAGACGGTGCAAGGGCGAGACCAGTTGCGGACCTTCTCAACCTTTGACGGGTCCGCCTCGATGCCGTCGCGTGAGAGGATGTGGCCGAGGGACTCGACTCGCAGCGTGAAAAGATCCGTCTTCTTGCAAGAGCAATAAAGCCCCACACCGCGAAGGAGCCGCCCCGCCAAAGCGCCTCAAAGACTTCTCGTGCTCGTCCAAAGTCGACGAGTAGATAACAACATTGTCGACAAAGGCTTGACAGCACACTCCGATGAGCGGACAGGGTGCCTCATTGATGGCGCCTGATGCATCGCCGGCGCATTGCAGAGACCCTGCGGCATCACCGTCCATTCGAAGAGGCCCCACGGCGTCCTGATAGTGGTCTTCTCGATGTCGTCCTCGTGAACCGACGTGAAAGAACGTGTTTGACAAGTCAATCTTGCCCCAGTACTTGGCAAGAGCGGCATCTGCGGGGAACGTCCGGGACCGGAGCGGCGTGCGGTCCTTGGCGGTGTTGCTGTTGAGCCCACGGTAGTCGTTGACCCAGTGAGGGTCCGCCGCGAGAGCCTTCTTCGGGATGATGAAAGCCGCGGAAGCGAAGGACGAAGTGGAGGGGCGGAGACAACCGGCGGCGATGTGCTCGTCAAGCATCTTTTTCCAGCGTTCACGCCATTTCCTTGGGACGTTGGATTGGCGCTGATTGTGCGTCTTGGCCGTGTCAACAAGCTTGATTCGGTGCCGAGTCGTCGTCCGCTCGATATAATCCTTTGTGAGTGCTGGAAGGACATCCGGAAAGACGTCCGCAAAGTCCGCCATGACCCGTGCCGACCGCTCAGCCATCTCCTTTTCCTCGTCTGTGCGAGCCTCAACCCGCGCAATCAACGTCTCCATAGCCGTTCCCAGTCTGTCATCCTGTTGATCGTCGTCCAGTCCCTCAAGCGCCTCCAGCTGCGTGAGCGGTCCTTCGACGTCGGCAAACAGGTCGAGAGGCTCGAGAGGTGCAGATTGCTGCATGAGGAGCTGGGGTTCGGGGTACAGCGAGATGGCAATGCGGTGTTGCCGGAGGAAGGGAGCGCCGAGGATGAGCTCGAATGGATCCTCGAGCGGCGCGACAAGTAGCGTAGTTTTGGGCTTGTAACTTGCTTCACAACCAACAATGTGCGTCCTCTTCCGCTGGACTTCGCTCCTCGTCAAGCCTTACCCCTGCCCTTTCGACAGTATGTCACTGGAATGCTGCTGACACTGGCCAGCTTCATGTGTGAGTTCATGTGCAGAGGCGCTCAAAGACTCGCATCAGAAGTCAACGTGCTTTGAGTCCAAGTCAATCTGAACTGATCGCTTGCTTCTCCCGCCCTTCCCTCTATCCGCGCACCTACATGCCTGTGCGCAGTTGGATGCGACCTCATCTCGATGAGTGGGCAGGTCTCCAACCCCGCCTACCTCGAGCAGTTCAACCACCCAAACTCGAACCTTCAGGGAGCGTGAGTCCGCAGGGAGCGTGAGTCCGCTTCCTTGCCTGCTCGATGGAGCGAGTGATTGACCCCAACACTATGCAGCATCACTGCCGCCATGCCAGCAGGCGAGCTGTCCTTAATCCGCTGCCCTTGCCTCACGCTGACCCGCGGCTCACATTTGACAGGCTCCTTTGGCGGCGATCTCATCAACTCGTACCTCAGTGACAAGATTGGTCACAAGTGATGTATCGTGCGTCCCGCTCAGCGTAGCGGCCGTTCCTCGCAGTCCACTGACGTCGTTACGTCTCGCCACAGATCATCAACGGCTGGGTCTGGGTGCTCGGCTGCATCATCCAGGCCGCCAGCTTCAACGTCCGCACGCTTGTCGCCGGTTGCGTCGTTGCCGGACTCGCCGTACGCGTCTCTCGCTGTATCGCGCTTGATACGGACTCGCCCCTGACCTTCCCAATGTTGCGCCTCTCGCTCCGCAGGTCGGACTCGGCTCGGCCATTGTCACCATTTACCAAGCAGAGATCACTCGCCCGGCCATCCGCGGCCGCATCGTCGCCACCCAACAGCTCGCTATCACGTTCTCTGAGTTGCTTCAATATTTCGTTTCCTTTGGCTGCTCATACATTGCGGTATGGCACTCCTCAGCACCGGCTCCGTCACTCTGCAGCTGACAGGCGACTCCGCGCAGAACAGCGCTTCATTCAGGATGCGTTGGGCCCTTCAAGCCATCCCGGGACTCATCCTTGGCATCCTCATGTTTGCCTTCCCCGAATCGCCGCGATGGCTCATGGATCACGGCAGGGAGGGGCAGGCACTTCAGAGTGAGTTGTCGTTGCTCGCCCAGATCGGAGGACGGAATCGAGCTAACGGAACCCTTGCCCGCAGTCCTCGCCGACGTCTACGCCAAGGGAGACACAGAGAATGAGCTCGTTCAACTAGACGCATTGCGGCAGTGTGCGCAACTAAATCCACCTGCCCGAACTGGCTCTCTGCTGACAGTTCAAATTGGCTTGTTCAACAGGGTCATGCGCAGCTCGATGACCATGTTGCCTCAGCGGCACTGCTAAGACAATCCGCCGCAAGCTCCACCAGCTGTCGAAGGCGGGAGCGAGCACTGACAAAGCGCTCTCATCGCTTGAGGCATTTATCGACGAGCTCGACTCGCTAGCGGGTCTGGTGCCTCCCACGCTCAAACCAATCACTCCGACAAACACAAAGGTCAGCGAAGCGCCTTTCTACAAGAACCCCGCCCCAAAAACGGCGGGCCCTGACGCGCCGCCCCCGCCCCCGGTACCCCACCTGACGCCCTTGCGCCAACACTCAACCTGGCACGCTCTGGG